AACTCAGCAGAGTTCACTGAACATCACAAAATACTGTTCAGCTCTAGTACAATAAAATCTACTAGTACTGCTGGCCTCTCAGCTGGAATTTCAGTGTCCTAGCTCCAGCCTGTGTTTGAGATGGTTTTCTTCTCTGGGGTGATAGTGGCCATAGCAATACAGACCCCTGGGTGACTCCATTTGGCACTATCTGTGCTGGCTGTGGGGGACTGACATTGTCAGATCTCTCATGGGCTTGAGTTCCCATGGTTTTTCCCTCAGGTTGGTGGAAAGCTCTCCGCTACCACCAACACCATGACAGCTCCCGTGGCAGGGATTCTCCTGGGAGTTAGCACACACAGTATTTATACTTCTCAGCATCATCACAGAGGCCTGAACCTCAGATCGCTGGTCACAGCACCCTAAACCACAAAATACTCAGTTCTTGAAACACCTCCTAATGCTAATGGATTTCATTCTGTGCCATGGAGAATATGGGATATTGCTATCCCATACTGACCCCTCAGCTTCATTCTCATTCACTGCCACCATCCAGCATTTCTTCCTGCCGTGAGTTTCTGATCACAATCCCTCTCTCTAGCATCACAACAGGTATCATATGTCATTTCACTCACTAGTGAATAAGGTATCATATGTCATTTCACTCACTAGTGCATAACTACAGCGAGCTACCAGAAGAATTCATGCAGTGTGGAAGGATTTTTATAAACTTGCTCTGCTGATGGCTGCAAGAGATATTGCTGCCAGCTGAGGATACCTTACCTGTAGAGACCTGGCAGATTTCCAGGCCCTTTGTTCCCTCAGTAGAGAGGGATCAAGCACACTGCATCTCCTGATAGCAATGGTGATCTTGTGCAGTCAAGATAAAGCTGGTAAATCAAAGAGCCTATTTCTTTTTTCTCTCTTTTTTTTTTTTTTTTTTTTTTCTTCCCCTTCTTCACTCTCATGAGTAAATAAGACACAAGTATTTTGGTGCTGCCAGCATGAATGTGATGTCAATTCAAAGGCAAAGTCTGCTCAGCCCTTTTTTGGTGTCCACAGTAAATGAGAGCAGCTGCTTGCTTCTGCTGCATGATGCTTTCCATTTCATCTGAGCTTCAGGACTCTGTGAACATCAAAGCCAACAGTATTCTGCATCAGTCCCTCCCCCTGGAGAAAGAAAACAAGTCTTATCCCCTTCTGGCTCATTAGGGTATGTGGTTATTTTTTGCTTTTAAAATCTTGCTTGTTGCGGATTACACATCACACTCACCTTCACCTGCAGAGCCAAGACTCTGTTAACATTTAGCTGTGTAGAAATTCAAGCTGCACATGTGCGTGTTCTACAAAACATAACCATGTAACTATTTCTCTGTATTTTATCAGCTATAGTCCTGCCTGCCATATTTGGTCTCCCTGTCTTCTGAGGGAAAGCATTTTGGGGATGGGACACACTTGTTTCATCTACAAACAGTGTAAGAAAAAGTTTCAGCCCTAAGGAAAACAGGAATGTCTCTTTATTGAGTGCATATTAAAGTTAAGTTTTTGTTGAAATAAACAATCATAATGTACTAGGCCATACAGCTTTGTTTCATTTGTTGGCTAGACCTTAGCCATCGATGAAGGATATACTAATGTAATCCATTCCCATGTGTGCCAAAATTCACACAGTTACCATTTTATAACTGTTTATAACAAAGTCAGTTTGTCTTAGAACTGGAGCTTCAGTTATTAGATAAGCACGTACTAAATAGATAAGAACAGAGTTTTGTTAAAAATATTATTAAAGAGTAATTAAAAAAAGTTTTGTTTTAGCCATATCATGTGCAACCTTAAATCCCCCAAAATTATGAGATTGAACATTTTAATCCATGATTAGCAGGGTTTTTTCTTTGGCAATATGAAAATTCATAGAAGTTTTAGATTTTAGGATGAAATATATTTTTAAATAGGCATGCACAATGATGCAAACAGGGAGCATCTGGCTGAAAGACAAAAACAAAAGGGGTAAACAATGGCCCACCAGGTGTTAGAAAAAGAGAACATTACCAAGAAGAGGCCTCAAAAAAAACCCAACACAACCCAATCAACAACAAACAACCAGGTTCAACCTCTTGCTTAAAGCAGTGCTAATTTTGATCAGGTAACAAATACTAATTTCCTTCAGGCCTAGTTTTGAAATTTAACATATAATAATAGAATTACCAATATAGCTCATCATGATCCATGATGAAATGACACAGCTTTTTATTTCAGGTGTCTGTAATTCTGTTAGGAAGAGAGCAACAGAGAAGGTCCAATAGGTTTGGCTTGACAATGAAAAAAAAAAAAGTCCTACATGCAGCAACAAAGTAATTTTCTTTCCCCAACTCTTCTCTATTCCTCTCTTCCTAACTATTCATAGCGATATAGATATAACATTACAAGCCACCTGTGACACCTGTCAGTTCAGGGCAGTGTTAGGTATGAAGTGAACTCACTTCAAAGAGAAATGAGGATTTAAGGTTAGTATTTGGAACATGATGCAAACAAAGAGGTCAGAAGGGATACCACAGAAGTCACTGTCAGCAGGAGAACAGCTAGTACAAGAGCACTTCAAAATAACACCTCACTGTATTTACAATCAACTATTTGACTTAGTACTTTATCTCAATGAAAGCTTTGTATTCTGTGTTAGTTATCACCAAAGCATTGTAATTGCAAAGCCTTTGCATGAGAGTCATACTATATAGCTCAAGGCAATTCTACTGGGTCAGGCCTGGTAGCAAAGACAAAAGAAAAGATCACATTTATCTTTTTATTATCAATACTTCCAGTGAAGCTTCAAGACCCAGTTCAGACCACCGAAATGACAGAAGTCTACCCAGCCATAATTAATTTTCTGATGGTAAAGGAAATGCAAACAGCAAGGGACTACTAGCAAAATGCATATATCTTGGTCCGCTTACCTATAAAAATCTACCCAAGCAAGGATGTTGAGAGAGCTGAGTCAATCATGGCATTACCACCAACCTCCTTAAAGACCTTTGAGTGTGAAGCTGGAAAACACTTAATTGTCAAAACCATTTGGCAGTTTCATCAGCCCTTTAGATCAGTCTAGTGTTGCTATCAGAAAAACCCCAACAAACCCATAATAGAAGTAACTGGTTTCATATCTCATTTCTGAATACAAGAATGGTATCATTCTTTCTAAACCCTATGCCCCAGTCTCCTGTTAAGAATTGCCTCTGGGGTTGCAGGAAGTCCAGGACACAGAGAGAAGGTCCTGAGAAGACTACGTTATGATTTTGAATTCCAAAATTTTGATGCAAGAGTTAGAACAGAGTACTGTTTTTCTCTCATCTTCCTTCAAGAGAAAGGCCTTTGTAAGGTAGGATACTTGGTACTTGAGTGACCATTGAAGAAAGGCAAGTCAGTTTTTCTTGTGGCAGTGACACAGGTAGTACTGTTAAATAGGAAACAGTAGAAACTTCATTGCTATAGAACCCCTTATTCTGGAAGAGGGAAGAAACAGAAGAGCATGCTTTTAGAAAAGGACACCTGAACATTGCACTCCTTACCTGTTCCAAAAGGGAATTAAAATTAAATTTTGGACAGTTATAAGTAATATACCTTCCCCTGTCCTGTTTCTCCCCTCCCGGCTCCCCCTCTCCCCAGCTGACAGGAAGAAGTGCTGGGCAGCACCAGCCAGCTTTAGTCTACAGGAATGATAGATAGTACTCTCTGCAAAAAACTCAAGGCATCAGTGTAGAAACCCTGCTGTAGCACAAATAACTCATTCAGCTAGCAAGGTCATCAATAGCTAAAGTCATACCCACTAGCTATATAGCCAATACATTTGCATTACTGTTACAGCAGTAAGGACACAAGGCACAGTCTCTTTCAGCAAGTTATACTCACTTTATTATGCTCTTTGAACAGGAAGTTTACTATAAGTCAGTAGCTCTGGGACACTGAACAATTAGGATTTGTGTTATGCACACACTATTACATCCATTTTCATCCTAAACAGTTTAAATAAAAAAAAAAACCCTCCTAGAAAACCACTCATTAGATTTGTCAAAACAAACATTTTCTGAGCAATTCACAGCAAGCCAAATATCTTAATAAAGAAATCCACATGAGAAGAATCAAATAGTGCTCCCAATGAATAAGCTGAACAACATCAATGAAGGCTTAGTCATATTCACATATCTCCAGTTACATCCTTTCATACACAAGCATTGTTCATGCACCTCAAAGATTTCATAGAAACCCAGACACTAGCAGTTATATTAGCTTTGATTTCTACAGTATTTGTAAGAGATTTTGCCCATACTTTACTTTTTTTTTTTAAGTGTTTTTTTTTTTTTTTAAGTCATCTATTGCACGCATATACACTCATCTTTGTTAAATGAGTTTATAGTGAAACTACAAGATATCTTCTCATTCAGAGATTGTCCTGAGCCATTAAATAGCAATGACATATTAAACACAGAAGTAAAGTCCTTCCAGACAGGCCTGTCCACAGATTTGATACAGTAATCTGAATAGAATACCTGGAAACCAACAAGTGATGGCTGCAACTCTGACAGCTATGAGATTTACTCAGATGGCTTTTGCAAGATATCAGTAATAGGAAGAAGCTGAACTGCATTTTCACATGCCCTAGCTGCATTTACGTTTTGTTTTTCAGCCAAGGCTTGTTAGAACTAAAGAAATTGCAGTAATAATCGAAATGCAGTTGCTTCTCACCCATCCCTCCTATGAGGCTAATTTAAGAACCTGAAAGGGTCAGCATGCAGATAATCTCAACATTTTGTTCCTCATAAATAGTAATAAAAAGCTGCACAATTCTGAATGGCATAATATATTTCAGGATGATAAACACTTTAACTGAAGTATCCAAGATCTTATGTCAAACCATAGAACAAACCAGGAGTTTGTACAAAGTATTATCAGTTATTATAAATCCTAATTGTTCCATGCTCTTGGCAGTGTGAGATGTAAAAGTGGAAGCACTTCAAAATATCACCTTGTTCTTATATTCCTCTTTGAGTTGAATATGTTCCTGCGTTTTGAGAAATTCTGTTTGATTGGTTGTGCAGGTTGGTATCCTTGTATACAAACCAAACATTTCCTCCCCATAAAATCATATTAAGCAAGCCAAACACCTGTACGTTAAGACAAAAATGTGAGACTAAGGGTGTGTTTGTTTGTGGGTTTTTAAAAAACAAAACAAAACAAAAAACAACCCACCAGAATATGGCAAGCCAGAAACAACCACTATTTTTGGCATCACTTTGATTTGGACAAGAAATTTCCACATGCTTTAGAGTATTACAAGCTATTTTAACAGGCTTATTTGGAAATCAGATAGTCAATTTACTCTGTCCTTTGCATGGAGTGACACAAGTTCTTTTCTGTCACTCAGCACCTCTGCATATGCACATCCAGAGCACATGGTTAAATATTACTGGGCCAAGGAATAACTGCCAGAGTTTTGAAAAGCAGAATTCACTAGGAAGATCGTGAAATAAGGCTCATTTGCGCTGCTGTGAAGAGTTCTTTCTATGAACATGGGCTTTATATCATCGTATTACGAGGATCCTCTATTTGATGTATAGAAATTGTCACAGTTGATTAAAAAGCTAGGCTCAGCACTGAAAGGAGAAGCAGGAAGCACAGTGTTTCCTCCTTACTTGTATCAGTCAATGAACCACTTGGGTGGCTCAGTAACATATTTTAAGGTGCTCTTGGCTGCAGACAGAAATAATATAGAGACTCAAATGTGTCTGGAAATGCTGCATCTAGCAGCTCCAGAGACAGATCCTACAAGTTGTTTCTCTTCATTTCTTTGAGGAAACAAGTTTTTTTTTAAAAGAAAAAAATTAGGCAGTGTTTTACCATAGTATTAGTGGGCCTGAATAACTGATAACCCATAAAACCATCTTAACAAATAAAGCAACACACACAGTCAGTAGAACAGGGCTCTCAGGTGCCCTCGGCTATTTTTTAACATATTTATTGTACCCATATGGCAGAAGGCGTACCTACCACAGACACATTCAGAGTTCCCATGCTGGTTACAGAAACAAAATGACAGGTTGTTCCTGGTGCTTTGCAAGATTCAATTCCTGGAATAACGCTTGCCCCCGTGGACATTTTGATGTCAGCAAGAGCTTTTGCCCAAGCAAAAGTACTGACCAGCCACAGAAAGGCTGTTATGACAGTGATAGCCAAGTCCTACAGAAGAGAAGGACTCATTATTAGGTTAAAAACTTTTACACGAATGTACATAAGAGCAAAGCAGAGACAGTCTCAATTATATCACCAAAATAATGACATCAGTGCTAATTTAACAAGCGAATTTAGCCATGAACAATGCTTTAATTACAACACAAGTTATATTCTGTGTTGATAAGCAGCTACAAAACTGTATGCCTTCTGCATTTACCAAGCATAAGCAATCTTATCCTTTGTAAGAAATCAGCCTCTAAAATCAGATGCCTAGCACCTATGATATAAAAATTTATAGTAAAACGGGGTGACAGGGGACAAAGAGCAGAGGATTTAAATCTGAATTGCTGATATGCAAAAATTTAGCTTGAAAGGTCACTAGGCTTGTTTCTGGGCATGCTCTGAAGTTTCTCATTCTAAGGATCAGGGCTTTGGTATTCAAGGTGACTAAAATTCACAAGATAACTACTTCCCTCTGCCAGTTGCATCTGCACAGCAGGTGCTCTACATAGGGAAAATTCCCAGGGACTAATAGCAGAGGTTCCACCTATGGAACAACTGTATATTCAAATACATAATACAAAAGAAAAGTTGTGGTGAAGACACTCTTCATCTGAGAAGGTGGAACTTCATTCCACTCTGCTTCAATAACTGTATAAGGTATGATGCTATGGATGTTCAAAGGCCTTGGGTCCCCTTTTCTGCTTGAGTTGACTCGTTTGAGATACTTGTTTTCATGCTCCATCTAACTTTTGGAACTACTGAATATTAATCATTTATTCAGATATTATTGTATTAGCAGTATTTCTCATCTCTTTGTGGTTTCAAAGTAAAAACATTAAAGTATCTTCGTATTACTTACAGTTAGTGGAAGCTTGTTGTTTTGCCGATACACATGCTTATATCCAATATATACTGTGAGGGCAGCAATGCAGTAGAGGAATACCAACACTGCAAGTGTAACAAAGAACTGTGCAGAAGAGGAGAAGTTGCCCACGAGAGAGATGTCGGTCCAAGTGCCACCACAGTGTTTTGGGTCTGGTGCACTAAATACAACAGTATTCAACCTGCAAAGATTATATTCTTCATGTAGTTAGTGTTTGCTACACAGTGGAAACTTCATACAGTCGTGCTTCACAATAACAGTGCTTCAGCATTCTGGCTGAGGAAGTTTACTCTAAAAGACAATTTATATTTGTATGGTGTATCAGTTATACAACACGAAGATTTGTCAAGATATCTGAAGATTGTTCCCAATCCTACATCGAGATAGGCAGTATCAACTTCAGGGAAGAATCTTAATCTTAACTTTAGAGCAACTGACGGAAGAAACCCCAATTTGGAGGGAGACTTAATGACATTATTTTAGAGACTGAAAGTTAAGTGAGGCAATCAGGTCTTAAAAAGCACCTCATTGCATTACAGCTACAAGAAGAGGCAAGCACAGAAGTTCAGTAAAACCTGTGTGACTAGCAGCAACCACTCAGTGACCACCACAGAATCATTACAGAATCCCACTCTCCCCTCCAAGTGCTGGTACAATGCTGGGGTTTGCAACCAAATTCTATACTTCTGTAGTAGTTTTTACTAGCTGGCCTCTGAATCCGTTTCTGTACTTACACCTATGCTTATTGGACACATATGGAACACCAACTCTGTTATCACAGCTGCACAGTTACAAGTGCAAAGAGGAAGCCTTTCTTCTCATGCTCCAGGAAAGGAGTTTGTGTCTACAAAAGCACTCCAATGACAGTTTAGTATTTAGGCTTTTTATGTACCCAACATCCTCACCAAGACCATAGTGGACTAAACTGAAAAGTCAGTATTTTTCATTCAGTTTTTAAACAAAAATATAATGTCACATTCAAAATAATCTGGGCCTCCAAAGCAACTACAAATTGGTGAATAAGTAGGCTTTTAAAATAAATTGCATTGTATTTCTGTCATGGTTTAGGCCTGGTTTGCAGCCAACCACAACGCAGCAGCTCTCTCTCCCATCCCCTCCGGCAATGAGAAGGGACAGAGAGCCAGGCTTGGGGTTCAAGATAGGACTGGGATGGGGAAAAAAATTCCCATTTATGATCATGAGCAAGAGGCAGACTCGTTAGGGGAAGGAAAAAAAACCCATACATTTATTACAGACACTAACAACACATAACAGAGTAGGACAGTGAGAAGCATTGCCACATCTTGAGAACACCTTCCCCCCATCCCTCCCTTCTTAAATACGTTATCGCAGAGGCGCAGCCGATTGGCTCAATTTCCCAAACAGAAGTGGAGCTGACTTGAAGCTGGGGGAGCTTCGAGAAGCTTCTCACAGGGGGCCGCCCCGATAGCCCCCTCCCCTGCCACCAAAAAACTCCACCACTCACTCAACCTAGGACAATTTCTTATTAACTATCATCTGTAGCATTTACGCACTGCTAGAATAGAGCTTAGGGTAGAGTGATACAAAGCAGTAATACAGTCCACTGCCATTTCTACCTACTTCTTCCTATAGGGCACTGACAAACACTATGCTTTGAATAAATGCAACAAAATATTTATTTATTTATTGCTACTACAGAGCAAGCCAGAGGTTTCACTTGTTCATTCAGTTTTATACAGTAAGTACATATGCATAGGGTGACAGATGAGGAAAAAAGTGAATAACAAGTAATTAGTGTATGAGTGACAACTGAAGAGCTAACACTCACCTGAATGGATAAGCAAAAGCAGCTGTAACTGTTTTGTTTACCGCACCTTTGCAGGAAACTAGAAGGGTAGTTTCACCTCGAAAGCCTCCACATGTGGCAAAAGCAAAGATGGAAAAAATCTACAGGGATTGATACACAGACATATTAATGCACACCTCTAAAACTCCAAGGAAATAAACTCAACATTTAACTGAAACAGCTAATGAAGGCAAGAAATAAGGGACAAAGTTAGCAATAGTAAAGTATGATGTAGTGTCAAGAGATAATGAAAGCATTGAGTTTCTACAATACAAAAACATGAGCAATAGCACTAGTAAAAGCCAGTTTGAAAGTTCCTTTTGTTTATATTTTTCTTAGTTCTACAACAAAAGTTTTTTGTTTTCTGTTGGGTTTTTTTTGTGTTTTTTTTGTTTGTTTTTTTGTTTTTTTTTTTTTTTTTTTTTGTTTTTTTTTTTTTTTAATTTTATTTTAATGCTAACATCAGCACAGTACTTCCTGCCGTTGGTAAAGGAAGTATTTTTAGGAGTCTCAGACATCCGTAACTGTAGATTAAAATAACTAGAATATACATACTCCAAATATTGCACAGCAGCTTGACTCCAAGTAGCTCTTGTTTTCCCCTTGTTCACTAGCAAAACCCTAACCCCCTGATAATCAGAACATATAACCCACAGCAGCACAAGCTACTATGACAAGCTGGTAATTAAACACATAAATTTTATGTATCTACAGAAGCGTTTTGTTCCCTCGCAATCAGAGTGGCATTGTGTTGAACACCCACCACCAGTGACATGAAGCAAGGAGCAGGCAGCCCATCAGCACACACCTCTCCAGGCCCCACCAGCTAAGACACAGGAGCAAAACCATGCCTGGGAAAGCAGAAGAAACAGCCCCACAAGGAGAAGAAGTCTTCCCCCTGTGCCTCCCCAGCCCCACTCACCCACTCGAGGACCTTAATGAAGCCCAGGGGCTCCAGGAGCAAGCCACAGTCCATCCTCAAGCAAGCCACCCTAGGCAACACCAGAACAACCAGCAAAAACCCACACCACCACCTGTTCATAGCTGCTGCCTTGCGCAGGCACCTCCCTATAGGGCCAGCCCTTGTGCTCCGCCCTGCCACACCCCTGCCGCACCCACTTACCTGACACTAGGCTGGCCCCACCCACAGTTGCCTCAAATCAGAGGCCAGCCTCAGGGGGAGGGGAGAGCCCCTCTGTGTGGGGTGCGTGCCACTGCCACAGAGGACCTTGTCTGTGGGCTGGGGAAATGGGGCAGTAACTGTCACAGGAGGGAAGAGCTCCAGCCATTTTGTGGAGTAAGGCAGTGGTGATATCCCTCCTTCCCAGGAGCCTGAAGGGGCTGCGATGGGCTGAAGCTAGAAGGTGCCACCGCAGCAACAGCCATAATTGCTGCAGTGCCAGGGCTGTGTGTCCTCCTGGGCAAGCCTCAGGAGGAATGGAAGGTAGCAGGCAGAGGACAGCATGCTTTGGAGGATCATCTGTGCCATACCTTGATTTAGGGTTAAGTGATTTTATTAGCAAACAAGGCAGAGGCTCTTGAAAATGCACGTACGGTGGAAGCTTGCTGAAATATCATAAACCACATTTGATTTTTTTAAGCTTTAAATCGCTTTTGTGGTTGTACTCTATTGTTGGTAAGTTAATCTTCAGTGAAACTGAAGAGCTAAAACTCATGCTGAAGAAAATTTGAGGCCTGTGGGGGGGGCTGCCCTCCTCCCTGACTGGAGAGCACGGCTAGCCAAGGCAGCAGACACAGCCCTCGCTGCAGCAGTTTTATGGTTCTGCTTCAAGATCTCCTTGAAGCTTCTTCTGGGATTGCTAGGGAACTCCTGGGAACCCTCTGTGAAACATCAGGGTGTCTGGTGCTGCTCTTGGGAAGGGATAGTTAAGGGATGCTGTGGCTGCTTCTAGCAAGCTCTATAACCTGTTCCTGGCCAACGAGTGTGGGGAGGTCTTGTGCCAGCTGAGCCCTGTTATGGCTGCCAGGTGCCAAGGAGATGCCGAAAGAAGTGCAGCTTCTAGGTATAGTGGGTGGGTGCAACAGTTTGTGCAGAAGAGGGCCAGCAGCCTTCACAGAGCAACATATGCATGCTCAGCCATGGTGGTGGTGTGCTGCGGGTCATGGTCCCCAGCGCAGTCTGGATCATTTGTCCCTGGTGCATCAGAGGCCTTGGCCCAAACTGAGCTGCTGAGGGATGGTGCAGATCTCCAGTCCTGGGGCTGGGGAGGGGTGCCTGGGGCCTCTTGCTGGGGCTAGGGGACCCAGGCCCGTTGCCCACAGGAGGTGTGCATAGGTGGAAGGTGTGTGTCGCCAGGAGCTGTGGGAGGAGCTCAGCAGCCTACACCGCATCAGAGATGATGAGATCAACCAGCTGATCTTCTCTGAAGCCCTGCAGCTTTAGGAAGCTGAATCCCCTGCATTCCTATAGGAGGTGCAGGTGGAGTCTGTGCTCATCAGGTTAGGAAATGGAGACTCCCATGATGGTGAAGGCTGGAAGCCTGTGACTCCTGGCACCAGGAGGGTGGCTGTAGCTGTAGATCTGCAGCAACAGAACACTCAGTACCCTAGTAACAGACAAGGGGTCAGGAGCTTTCTCCAATGAAGCCTCAGTGCCAGCTGAGCCTGAGCTACACAGGAAGACCAGGAGGAAGAGTTGACTGACAGAAGAGGGAAACTTCCTCCTGCATGGGATGGAGGCCCCTGCCTGCTGACTAGGGAGGTTTGCTGCTCACCAGGGGCTTGGATCCAAGATATTGTGGAGAAGCAAGCTTCAAACTATTAATCATTGCTGCTCTTCCACATGAGCACCAATAATGTTGCCAGGGAATACCTGGAGCATTAATTGTTTTGGGGTGTGGTCAATATCTTGGGGCCCAGGTGGTTTTCACCTCAATTTTCTCAGTGAGGAAGAAGGGCTTGAGGAAGAGTGAAAAGATCCTGCAGGTCAACAATTGTTTGTGCAGCTGGTGTTGACAAAGAGGATTCAGCTTTTATGACCATGGAACCCTCTCTGAGGACTTAGGACTATTAAGAAATGATGGGATCCACCTGACCAAGTAGGGAAAAAGCATCTTTTTCAACAGGCTGGCCAATCTGCTGAGGAGAGCTTTAAACTAGGTGTGATTGACTGGGCACGAGGGAAAGAGATGATGATGTGTATTAAGTGAAGAAGTGGTGGACTGGTTTGGTAAGCAAAGGGTATGTGATGACATGATTTCAAGGAGAGACTTTGAAAAGAAGAAAGCAGGGTAGAAACTCCCCCCAGGTGTATGTATGTATGCGTATAAGGAAATGCCTACAGAACAGCATTATGGGAGAAGCTCTCATAGCTTTTCTGGGAAGTCAGCATGAGGGAAAGCTTGTCTAACGTGTCTGTATAGTAACACACACAGTATGGGAAGAAACAAGAGGAATTTGAGGTCTGTGTGTAGTTGCAGGTCTATGATTTCATTTGGATGATGGGGACAGCGTGGGATAGCTCATGTGACTGGAGTACTGCCATGGATGGATACAGGGTTCTTAAGAAGGACAAACCAGGATAGTGAGATGCCCTTTATGTGAGAGACCGGGAATGCATGAAGTGCCTTAGGATGGGTGATGAGCCAGCTGAGAGTTTATAAACTCTTATAACGAATAGAATAGGCTCCTTGATTATATGAAAATGACATCACTGATACTTCAAAATACAATTAATAATTATTACTGATTCTATTAATTCCCGTATCTATAAATAGCTTTTAAATCTGATGTATCTGTAAGCTTAATAACATCACTACTAAGATAGATATTAATGTATGAGCTTGCTGTTAAAATCAATTTACAGATTAGTAGCTAATTAATTAGAAATTATGACTGGTTGGCCTCTGTATTGGAAATTTCCAAGAAAACGTATTTGTGGCACACCCAGTGAAGAGTGTACCGAAGGGCAAGAGTACCAGCATGGCTACGTGTAGAGCTTTTGTTGGTGGAGTAAGGCCATTCTGCAAGCACTCAGGGAGCTGCGCGCAGGATGCCACACCTTCCAGGACTCTAGCAAAGTGCACAGGTATCGTCAAGCATATGCTAAATTTAATTTTTAAAATGTTGTGTGTCCTGGTTTGGGCTGGAATAGAGTTAGTGTTCCTTTTTGGTAACTAGAATAGTGCTGTGTTTTAGATTCAGCATTGGGTTTGGCATCAGAAGAATGCTGATAGCACACTGATGTTTTCAGCTGCTGCTGAGATTTCAGGGACTCTCCAACTCCCCATGTCCTGCCCGTGCACAAGTACACAAGAAGCAGGGAGGGAGCACGGCCAGAGCACCAGACCCAAATTGGCCAGTGAAATATTCCATATCATGTAACGTCATGCTCACTATTTAGAGGAGGGGTGGTTGGGAAGGGTCTCTCTCGCTTCCAGGATTGCAATTGCAGGATCTTGGTATTTCGGGATCGCTAGCTGGGAACGGGATGGATATTGGTCAGTGGGTGGTGAGCGATTACACTGTGCACTGCCCATTTATATTTCTTATTGCTGTCATTGTTTTCATTTTATTACCATTATTAAACTGTTTCTATCTTAACCCGCAAATCTCCTTTTACCCCTCCAACTCCCTCCCCTATTCCTAGGTGGGTGAGCGGCTGCGGGGTGGTTGGCTGCCAACCAGGCTCAAACCACGACATTGTGTCGTCTTAATTCTGTCATGAGAGTAGAGCACTCCCAGATGTGTGCGGGCTTTTGAAGCAAAAAAATGATTAGCCACTCCTTGAAGCAGGCTACTAAAACACTCTTAGTACTATTAGAAATCACAGCAGGGTATCACAGGAATGGGAAACCCCAAGGTGGTAAGAGGGGCCTAAACCACCAGCCTGCAGATCGACACCTTTCATTTTCAAATGAAGGTGACAAGATCTGTGAGGGTCTGGACCTCCTGTGTGTGCTCTGGCATGGTCTTGGATACAGCCTTGAGAAAGTTCCATCTCCTACAAACTCATTGATGTGTTGCACCATCAGCCCTTTAGTACGGCAGGAGCAGAGCTGTCTGCCTGAACCTTCATCCTATGGCTTTGGGGGTGCTTTAGATATGCTCAGCAAATGCTGTCTAAGTACATCCAAGGTAAGATCTAAGAAAATAAATTTAGTTATTATGAATTTATGATTTGACTTTGTAAGATATGTCATTGACTGATGTTGCAAGGGGAAAACAGTAAGATGTGATTTCGGTGCTGAAATTAATCCCTCTTAAATGTAATGGAGTTCAACAGTGGGTGCAAATTAGGGAACAAAACCACAGCAGTGCTATGCAAGTCTCCTAGGGTCTCTTTTATGGGGATATCGCAATGGTACAACTAAAATATGCTTTAGTTTGGGCAGTGCAGGTCTTGTAGGATTAAATTCCAGTGTGGAACTGACAGTAGTTTTTTTGTATTTCATGGTGGTGTTTATAAAGCAGCTGGTGAAATGCCCTCTGATCTTGTAAGGGTCTGTCAGAATTAAATGCACAGTGTCCAATCCAGGAAAACGTACCGTATGGGAGACTATCTATGTTCCTTAGTCTCCATCTAGTACATGAATCTCACAAAACCCCCCTTACGATCCAGACGAGCAGTGCTGAGGGTTCAAGACACCCTGATTAGTTTAGCTGCCTGAATAGCTAGTGCCTTTAAGGAGTAAAATATGAATATAAAAAAAGGGATGGAGCAAGGTAAAAGATGGAATATCTATTTGCTCATCATCTCTACATCCTCCATGCCCAAGCAGAACTGTTCCATACATGTGGCATATAAAGTCTTGGTTCAGTCTAAATGAACCAAGTAACTCCCTGACTCCTATCCAGTATATCTCAATTTTTTTTTTTTCTCTCTGTCTTCCTTCTTCCCCATCTTCTACTTAAACCCTATAAACAATGTATCTCCCTAAAAATACATATAGGCACTTGTTTGATTCCTCTCCTTTTCCACTTGTCAGTTATTTAAAAGCATTTAATTATTTAAAGCATTCTTCAAAAATGC